CATAGAAGAGACTTCAAGTTAATAAAATGAAGTTAAAATTTCTTGCTCTATAAACGTATAGAGCGATTTGTACATTAAGTTCTTTAGTTCTTGATAAACTACCAAACCGGGTTATAAAGCTACCTGTAAATGCCAATAATAATAATAATAATAATAATAATAATAATAATAACGGATTTTACAACTTAAATTGACAAAAAGGAACAAATAATTAAAAATTTTCAAGGACAATGAGCAGTTGAAGGCTTATACTAAAAAGTAAAAGTAGAAGCCCGAAATAGAAATAATTATAATGTACAATGCAATACTAATAAAAACTATAATACAATTAACTAGTGTTAAACAATAAATCAGTCATGGAGGAGAAAATTGCACAAAATGCTCTATACGATTCTTGGAAAGAATGCTTTCTCTTTAGAAATAATCTAACTAACCGGAATAGGTAGGTGCTGATCCTTAAAAATGAGTCAGAACAAAACTATGAGTGGTGGCCATCTACTACTATAGACTTAATCACTTAATTAGAATTAGAAATAAAACGGTATTTAGAAGTTCACCCGCCCCCTTAAATACACGGAAATCAATTGCATCATAATACATCACTGACACACATTGCATAATATTACATAACACTAGAAAGGAATCTTAATCAACAATGCATACATTATATAACCTACATAAGAAATGAAAATAAGTACAGAAATAATAATTAGGAAAAATGATAATAATAACAATACAATACATCCCTAGGAAAATAATTATAAATAAGCATACATTAACATTATCAGTTATAACAGGTTTGCTCTTGAAATTATACTTAAAAGTATTCATTATATGTATTTCATTGGACTATAATGCATACTTGCTCTCTTGTAGAAATGTGAGGCTGATAGTTACAGAAGTCGTGAGGAGTTTCTTGTTGATCTTAATCAAATAGTTGATAACAGTATCACATATAATGGACCAACCAGTCCCTTTACTGTCACTGCCCAGAGTATGAGGGAAGTGGGACTACAATATCTTGAAGAGGTGAAGGGAGAGAATAAAAGTAGTATTGTTTGGTTGAAACTGGTTATTTTAACTATTATTTAATTTATTTATGTAGTTACAGCCTAGCTACATGTAGCTGTGATTTGTATACATGTCACCAAAAAACGACTACAAAATTACTTGGTTATGAGCAAATTTTGTCATGCATTTTTATCAATAAGAGATTTATATGCTTTGCTCTTACCCTTTTGATATTTTATATTCTGTTCCAGTCTACATGTATGTGAATGTAATTGCTATTATTACCATTATTCTAGGAAAGAGAACATTTTGAACAATATGAAAGCCAGTTAGGACCTTTTGACAAGTCACCACTAAATGAACCAGAAGGACTAGGAGGAGAGAGTGGAGATGAGGAGGCAGAGGAAGAAGATACTAGTACTAACATGAATATTACTGGACAATCCAGTGTCATCATTACTAGTGAAGACAGTATTCAGGTATGGAAACAAACAGATTATTGTATAGCAGGAAATTTTGGAGGGAGTTAAAATTGGCTAATTTGGCATTTCTCTAGCCATTCACCAAAATAAGAATCCACCATTTTGAGCCATTATGTGCATGCTCAATGGCATATAGCCACAATTTTGTCAAATTAAAATTCACCAATCACCAAAATTAAGCAATTTACAAAAATTTAGTCCCTCCAAAATTATCTACTGTATACAGTATGATAGTTGTTGATTGTCAAATGACTGTATAGATTGGGACTATAGATGTTGAAGGCACAGATGAAGAGGATATAGAGAAAGGGAGGAAAGGAGAAGGATTGATAGCCAGTAGTTTGTTACCAGTCACTGGTGGTGGTATGGACATATTGAGTCATGATTTACAATATTCATCATCATCAAGCAGTGAAGGAGAGGGGGAAGAGGAGGATATTACTGATATGGAAGAAGTGTAACTTTGTTTATGTGTAGATTATCATGAAACATTCATTTTTAACTTAATGCACAAAATATGATTAAAATATTTTGCTTGCATGTACTTATAATCCTACATAATGTATAGTGATACTGATTGATACACAATAAGTTGCCTTGTAATGATGTGTTACTGGTCAAGCAGCTGCAGGTCATCAGACTCCTGTGAGGACCCTATCAAAGTGTTAAGTCTAGTCCCATGTAGCCAGCCCCTCCCTCTAGTCACTATTCTCACTAAAGGACAATGGTTCACACTCTGAATCTCTTCTGACTGTCATGAACTCAATATTCTTCAGTCTACCTCTGTTGAATTTGTGCTTTGAGATAAAATACCTGGTCTTTTTATTGTGACTAGAAAAACAACAGTTGACAACTTGCTGCACAAACTTAAAATTTTGTAAGTTAGTTTATGGTCCAAGCACAAGTTGCTTAGGAACCTTCAGTGCATAGCATAGTCATTGGCTCATTGCCACTGTTTTAAACTCTAGTGCATTTAAAATTCTCAATAATAATAATAATAAAACTAACTACACCTGATTAAAATGCACTTGGTAAATTATTATTTTGAAATTACATATACCGGGGTACAACATGAAGATTAAAATATGTTAATCCTATCAATGTCAATGTTGATATCTGCATTCCTTAATTTTCTTCAACCTACAGTAATATAATAAATGTAAAAGAAAAATGATTTTCTATAATACTAATGCATTTTAATGGATAATACCTTGCTTCCTCTGCCTCTTATATTTCTGATCTCTCTTTATCTGTTAACTCTTTCATTGTCTCTCTATTGTCTCTAAATAATTATAAACAGTAAGAGGTGTATGTGTGTACATAATGTGTGTATGCATTCCTACTTGTAATATATGACGTCTCCATCATCATATAGTCCTAATGAGGATCTGTCTGAAGTGATGGAACACCATTTCAACTTATTCTCAATATCAAGACATGACATCACAACTGGAAATAATCCATACTAAGAGTTAAAGAGAGGGAGCATCTTTATCATGTTTTGTATCAATGGATTAACCTTTGCACAATAGATATACTCAGCAGGTACTCCACTTAACTCTGACAGCTGTAAAAAAACAATAATGATAATGATACAGTGAAACCTGCTTAATCCGGTCACCCTTGGGCCAGTTTTAAATGGCCTGATTATGCAGGTGGCTGCATTACAGTGATATCAGCCTCTGTAATACAGCCATTTAGTATGGGATTTTGGCTTATGGCTGTAATAGAGAGGTGGCCTCATTATTCAGGTGACCTTTAGGACAGGTTTCACTGTAATGATATACATACCTATTTATTCATAGCCTTATTGTACATTAATGTTAATATAAACCTATAGACTTGTATTGGTGATTGACAGTTTTTACCATTATCAAATCTGCCATTTGATATGAAATCCAAAATTTGCCAACTACCGTATAGCTAAAAAATTTTGAGTGTTAAAATTTGGTGAATTGACTCTAAAAGAGGTTTGGAGGTTAAAATTTGGGCAAAATTTAACTCTGTGCTTGCTTCTATGGAACTCTATCAAATTGGAGACTAAAATTTTGTCAAATTAACTTCCATTCACCAATTTTGCAAAATTTTTACTCCACCAAATTTTCTAGCTCTACGGTACTACTTATCACAGACAAATGCAGTATATACATATACAGTTTTAATCTTATAGCATCATGACCACTTGTTTGAACAAGTACTATCCCATGCAGTGCAACAATAAAATTATGATCACCTTTTCAATAACATGCTTAGGTTCATTATTGTCCAGTATAATTTCTGCTATTGGATCAACTGAACATTGTGATGGACGCCATCTTATAACATACACCTGTATCTGTATACGATGCTTCATCTTCTCTGGTCCTAATAAAAATTAATACAATAATCAAATGAGGTACAGTATACTGAAAATATCATATAGCAGCATTTATTGGTGAAGGACTGAATTTGGTGAGTTGGCAAATTTCAGAAAAACAATTGCCAATTAATTAAAATTGCCAATTATTAGCTGCCATGTGGAGGAGATAATGAAGCCATCAAAATTTAACCTAAAAGTCACCAATTTAGTCAATTTCACCAAAAATAAATCCTGCTATACTGTTCTACAGTTTAAAATAAAAATATTGAGATTATGACCTTTCAATGGTTCCACATAATATGCTCCCATACTAGTGTCAATCACCTGACCATCAAGATACACTGTCCTAGGGTTCACTCCTCTCTTGTCACGTAATCTCATTCTACACAATGAGTCACATGATAGTCACATGATGTATTTACTTGTCTAGTTCAAGGTCACAGTCAATTCCTAGTACTTTTGCTTCTTCAATAATTTGATTCTTAAATTCTCTCACTCGTGTATCCTTAGCAACAACAGACTCCATCATATACTTATAAAACTAAAACATATTAAAATAAAAGATAAAATTATAATAATTAATATTCTTACAATTGTATTGTTAACTTGTAATAAATATAATCTAATTGTGTACCCTCCTTTTCCTAATGGTCTACCCAGTCTTACTATCAACTAGGAAATAAACAAAGTAATAAAGAGATTGATGTGTTTAGTACTTAGAGTTGATATAAGAGAAAAGACAAATGAATTAAATAACACAAAAAATACTTTTGATCC